CTTTACATTTTACAAGGAGCTAAATATAAATGACCCTGTTTATGCAGAACCGTATAAACTGCCTTATGTGTAAATAATTAGTTTGGTTGCACTTCAAAGATTCATTTATTGACCAGATGTAAAGCACCATCACCACACGTCTCACTTCTTGTCTGAACTCAGCTCGGCTGTCAGACACGGGCCAATCCAAAAAGGGCTGCCAGGCATTGATTGCAAAGGCTCTGTGACAGTTTTGTCAGAAATGGTTTCCTGCTGACTGTTTGACAAGATCATGAACAATAATCTATGGTTGCTTCTGAACCTTTGAGACAGATGATTAATGACAACAGGCCAGGCAATGACTGAGCTGAGTCCTGAATTATTAGTGCTCTGACTCTTTATTATCAAACACTATAAGTGAAAACCACTCTCCGCTTTGTGTAACAAACATTTCTTAGATTCGGAAAAGCGAAATTGCCAGAGATTTTGTTTCATTCAATAAGGATTATGAAGAACAATCCTATGATCCCTGTGAGAAAATGAGATTTATAAATGATTAAAACTGAAGAGGTAAATTGGCAAGTTGCTTCTGAACCTTTGAGACAGATGATTAATGACAACAGGCCAGGCAATGACTGAGCTGAGTCCTGAATTATTAGTGCTCTGACTCTTTATTATCAAACACTATAAGTGAAAACCACTCTCCGCTTTGTGTAACAAACATTTCTTAGATTCGGAAAAGCGAAATTGCCAGAGATTTTGTTTCATTCAATAAGGATTATGAAGAACAATCCTATGATCCCTGTGAGAAAATGAGATTTATAAATGAAGAGGTAAATTGGCAACAGATAAAGGACCTTCAAAGATCTTCTAAGGCAAAAAGGATAGATGCCTAATATCTAAGAGTATAAATAAATAAATATTTCCTTTAAAAGAATTCAATTAATTGTATAATATGTATTTATTAATATAATATGAACAATATTATAAAAGACTTAAATTCAACCTCTGGGGGTCAAAAGGTTTCTTCAGTTCATCATAATTCTTCCGGACATGATTGAAATACAAGCTTGTACAACCTAGTGTGAAGCATTTTACAATGGAATGTTCAATGGAATAAAATACAAATGTCCTTTGTGTTCCACGATATTCTGGACTTAAAATTATCATCCTGCATCATAAACCTATCACAAGCATAGGAATCAGTTACCTGTCCGTCACTTTCTTATATATTTTCCTCCTTTGTAACAAACAAAAAAACTAACAAATTTTCCTGTACACTACTAGAGACAGTAGTGTAATTATCTTTATGGCCCAGGTAAATTGGCAACAGATAAAGGACCTTCAAAGATCTTCTAAGGCAAAAAGGATAGATGCCTAATATCTAAGAGTATAAATAAATAAATATTTCCTTTAAAAGAATTCAATTAATTGTATAATATGTATTTATTAATATAATATGAACAATATTATAAAAGACTTAAATTCAAAACAACATAAATTCAACCTCTGGGGGTCAAAAGGTTTCTTCAGTTCATCATAATTCTTCCGGACATGATTGAAATACAAGCTTGTACAACCTAGTGTGAAGTATTTTACAATGGAATGTTCAATGGAATAAAATACAAATGTCCTTTGTGTTCCACGATATTCTGGACTTAAAATTATCATCCTGCATCATAAACCTATCACAAGCATAGGAATCAGTTACCTGTCCGTCACTTTCTTATATATTTTCCTCCTTTGTAACAAACAAAAAAACTAACAAATTTTCCTGTACACTACTAGAGACAGTAGTGTAATTATCTTTATGGCCCACATAGATGGGTGAGCAAGTATGTGAGGTCAAACTCCATACACACACACACACACACACACACACACAAATTGTTTTTACTATGATGATATGTACAACCTAGTGTGAAGTATTTTACAATGGAATGTTCAATGGAATAAAATACAAATGTCCTTTGTGTTCCACGATATTCTGGACTTAAAATTATCATCCTGCATCATAAACCTATCACAAGCATAGGAATCAGTTACCTGTCCGTCACTTTCTTATATATTTTCCTCCTTTGTAACAAACAAAAAAACAAAATTTTTTCCTGTACACTACTAGAGACAGTAGTGTAATTATCTTTATGGCCCACATAGATGGGTGAGCAAGTATGTGAGGTCAAACTCCATACACACACACACACACACACACACACACACAAATTGTTTTTACTATGATGATATGACCTTTCCACTGACTTCTGTTGTTTTTGTTTCCTGGGCTAATGATATTTTCTATTCTAGAGGTAGCTAAATAAAGATTTCCATTGATTATTTGGTATATTTATTAAGCCATTAATTTGTACAATGTAGGTGATTTCAGATGCTATCCCTGTGGGAACATTAGTACAATGTAGTGAAAACCTGACTGGTCAAATCTTGGTGAAATTTGTGGCCAAAAAAGTCTATCGTCAATAGTGTAGCAATATAGTGTATGAAGCACATCCTACAAGTCACTTTCAAACCAAGCAGCTTACTTTTGGTCAACTTGGCAAATTAACCTGTTTGACAAACTTGAACCCGTTGCCAAATCTGCATTTTGAACCTTTTCGCCCTCACATGAAATTCTCGATCATGTGGATTCCTATTGAAATGACTGGATTTTGCCCATGAAAATTCTATGAACGATGGTAAATGTAACCTCACCTTTACTTATCTATCTAGAACATTCCATAGACTTCTGTTGTTTTTATATAAAGCTATAAGCTAACCATCACTCCCAACAGAAAATGTTTTGAATTAAAAGAAAAAGCATTGTTTATTTTATCAATGAATCATTGATTAATCATTTTTAAACCACCATAGGGGGGTTTTGTCATATTTAGCTAACGTCTGTGGACACATTTGTTAGTTAAGTTGCTAACAAATTAGCAAAATAAACTCAGTGCTAATGTGGGCTTAGGTCTGTAAATGTGGATTTTCATTGTTGATTATGTCTCATTAGAAATGTGTAACAAAACAAAAGCTTACTAGTAGCAAGCTTCTTTCTGTTGCCTGAGGGTTAAAATAAACTTCAGAGGCATAAAGTAGAATGGGAACTGAAAATGTTTGGCTACCAATGTCCTTCAAAAATCTTCTTTTATGTTCTGCAGAAGAAATAAAGTCATACGCTGTAAGTAGCACTCAAGGAAACATTTGACATTGTTGTCAGCTTTCTGGCCTGGAGTGTGCAAAGTGGTAGACCTCTGTACTTTTACTGGATAACAACTAACCACATTTGAGGCCCACAGTCCCTGTGTGGTTCAATAGAATTTTTGGCCACTGCTCCAGCTGCTCTGGTTTGAGGAAATGTTCTCATGTCACCTGATACTCATGACTCAGAGGAAACACACATCCCTGGAAGCTTGAATTACTGCCGTACACTTAAAAACAAAGCTGGTTACATCTTCAAGAACATTAAACAAAGAGCTCAGTTCACACATTTCAGGAACATTCATGGTTAGAGGCATATATTATTTAAAAATGGAGCTCAAAAGAAGGTATCTTGAAAACAGTCTAAACATACTTCAAAATATCTTCTTTTGTGTTCCACAGGAGGAAAGAATGTCATAATGACAGGATTCTCAAGTTTGGGTGAACTATTCCCTCAAATAACCTTTCAAATACCTGAAGTACTTTGCTGGAAATCTCCTGAGGAGTAGGTCAGTGCTAATTCAATTGATGAAATCTCAGGGGGAATCACTTACTAACCATCTGAACACCACTAATGATATACTATCACAACTTTTGTGAACAGATGTCCAGCTTCAACAAGATGCCCATCCCAAGCACAACCTTTGAGAAGGTTATGCTTGAAGCTGGCAGAAGAGGTTTATAGCCAATTGCAAACAGTTGAACAACACTGAATCGCCTCATTTCATTCAAAATAGACTGAGAAAATCACAGGATTAGACATTCGGGGCACGGTCTGCATCTGTGATGAGATTAGTAACTTCAATTAGCATTTAATAAATGGACTATTGTTACTTCAGCAGCACCACAGAAATGCACCGCAGCAGTTGTTAAGCTGTGTGGAAATACATTATGCACCTTAGTTATGGGATTAATAATTCAAATCACAACATTTGCAGCATGCACATCATGTTACAAAAAAATTTGGCAAGGCAGCGAAACCCTTCAACCCAGCCCTCAGTTTAAACTGCTGTCATGATTTCAGTTTAATGTGCTGTATTGGGCCGACAAATAGCTGTACATTTAGATTACCAAATTGTTTGTTTGTTTTTGTCTCTTTTAAATTGTGCCGAAAGTTTTTAAATGTTGCCAGGTTGGGTAAAAGTCATTGGATTTTATTGGACAAAAATTTGGAAATGCCCATGTCATAACTTTTTTGGGTGTATTTTTAACAGATTCCAGGTATAGTATTTGGAAAGATTTATTTATTTATTCATTCATTCATTCATTTTAACTGAGAAACTTTTTACACATTTTTTTTGTTCACATTTATTTTTTATATTATATTATAATAATATAATATAATATAAATAAAATGTAGTAAATAATAATAATAGAAAAATACTACAATAAAATAGTACAAGGAGTTGTCAAAAGATTACGATCATAATTTGTTTTGGTTAATACATTTACTTTTTAGGAAGTAAAACAAAACAATACACTTAAGTTTTGGAATAATTTTAATATGAATATAATTTGGTCTACTTTTGAGTACACTACGTGAACAGATGTGCCCTAAGAGCTGCAAGATAATGCCTAATAACATGAATACATGAAAAAGAAAGAAAAATGTGAAGGTAAAAGTGAAAAGAGCAACAACAGTTATGAACAGAAAGTCAAAATGAAAAGCTTAGTGAGACAGAGACACTCTGTCCCTCATATTGTGCTGCTTGCGCGCAGTCTGCTTCTGATCACGCTCTCTCTCTCTCTCTCTCTCTCTCTCTCTCTCTCTCTCTCTCTCTCTCTCTCTCTCTCTCGCGCTCTCTCTCTCTCTCTCTCTCTCGCTCTCGGACACCGACTCGCCGGTGGCTGCAGCAGTCAGTCAGTCAGTCAGTCAGTCCTGTGGTTGTAGTTTGGTATACTGTATATTGCGTGTACATGAACAGTCCTTCACTCAGAAGCGAGCGCGCGTGGATTATAGTGGAGAAGACACGGAGGGATAGCTCGCATCGCGTGCGTTTAAACTAAACCAAACACGCGCTCGCTGCACCGAGAGACTCCCAGCAAACTCAGTGTTGTGGTGAGCGCTCGTGGGGGTCGGATCGGCGGGAATGGCTTCGTCTCCGTGCGGCGGTGGGAACTTGGATTGCGGGCTGGAGATCCAAACTCGCTCGGTGGAGCAAACACTCATCCCGCTCGTGTCTCAGGTGAGTCCGGATCAAAGAAACTCCTCGGCGGGGTCATTAATCCTTTAAAACCCATGGCCATTAATGGACAACTTTGCCGTATCATGTGTAAAGGTGAACTAGAACACTGTTTGAATCCTCCACTACAACACTTCACCATGGTAACCAGAGTTGCTACAGTGTAGGAAATTAATATGGGAACTGTTTTGAAGTTTACGCAGTGTAAGAAGATTCTGTATACATTTCTTTTATTTAGGTGGCACAAATCGAGTTGCTTCAGTTTAATTAGTCATCTTTTTTAATAATTATGGTATTTTGCAGGAAACTGTTGTTGCCATGGTAATTTAATGTCAGGGAAGTTTGTTTGCATTCTACAGGATCATATGCTGAATGAATAAGAACTGAAACCTTTTCAGGTTATTTGAGAGAATGTGCAAAGTTCTCCATTAGTACACTGTCAAAAACGGTAAGGATTTTACTAAATTTGACAGTAATTTATTATGATAAAAATACATCATGATTATGGTGATTATAACACAATGTCGTGGCAATACACACACACACACACACACACACATATGTATATGTATAGATGTGTATATATATATATATATATATATATATATATATATATATATTCGTATACATTTTAGCAAATTGCTGGCTAATTTGTAAGAATTTACACAGTTTCATTTGTACATTTTCCTCACAATCTGCTTACACCATACTGATTGTTAGGTTTAGGGGTGGACCTTCATGCTTTTTTTTCCCTTCTAAAAATTGTGAATGAACCACATCATACTATTTAATATTATACTGTCACCTCATAAAACAATAATTTTCTCATTAGTTCAGGCTGATTATTATTTCCTTTGGCTGGAATTTTGTACCTTATTTACTTTGAATTGATTTTCTACCTGCAGGTGAAATTAAGCAATTTCATACTCAAGCAAGAGTTGTGTGGTGATGAGTATTGCATGGCTGTGAGTTGGTCGCAGGCATGTAACTCAACAATTCTGTGTTTCCTGAAACCATAGTTCCAACAAACATTCGCAAACAGCATTGCAAAGTTGTGTGATTGGAACTACCGTCTTCGACCTGTGGTTAGAAGTTTCTTGCTAGTATGACATGACGTAAGAGAAAACTCGAGATTGAAACGCGTAAATAAAGCAAAAGAAAAGAGAACAAAAATAGTAGTAGTCCTTAGATGCCATGTTTGTAATAATCTAACATGAAGTTGATCTGATTAATGAGCTGAAGTTATTACTACACCACCTGCGTGACGTCATTAACGGCAGTTACATACTGTGGTTTGAACAACGGATGTCCGACAACGTAAAAACAGTTATACATTATTCTACGGTAGTTAATCAGTGAGTTACATCATATGGGCAACGACAACACACTCTTATGGCACAACTACTTAACATTTTGGCGAATGGGTGGCTAATTTGTATAAATTAATAATCTAATTCATGCATTTTCATACAATCTGCTTATTCCCCATTGCTGGTTAGGTTCAGGGGTAGACCGTCATGCTTATGTTTTTTCCAAAGAAACATACTTTTCCATATCAATCATATTGCCACCTCGTAAAATAGTTATGTTTTCTAATTAGATTGTGTTGGAAACGCACTTTGGAGCTATACTACAGAGAACAAAAACAGGCTCTTTTTTTGAAAATGCTGGATTGATAGAAGCAGCAGTGAACCATTCCAGTGCTCTTAAACACTATAGTTGCTGCTATAGTCTAATCGTAACTTGCAGTCTATAGTTATTCACAGCTCACAGCTGCTGATATCCATTCCTCACTAAATAGCAGGATTCACCTAGATGATGGTGACATGACTTCACATACCATGCGTGCTGTTCTGAAGCATCTGTGAGAAATCTGTTTCCATTAGATTTTCACATGCATAACTGTTATCCGTTTAAAACCCTTCCAATGCATTTGGTTAGACAAGCCTTTTCAAATTTCTTTTTATGTCGCCCGTTCTACCCCACAACCTTAGGGGAGATGAGTGGTTTGGAGAATGGATGTGCCATTCTAATTGAATTGCTAGGTAGTTAAGTGTTGTGATGGGAGATGATTGCTGAAATGTCTTTTGAGAGTCTTTTTGAAAGTTTGCTAGTTAGTGGTGCTCACTAGGACGGCTGATGGTAATGAGGGTAAAAGGTCAGTGTTAGAAGACATGCTAATCGCCCATTCAGTGGACTTCTTTCAGTGCTTTACAGATTCTGGACAATAGATTGTTAAAGTGGCCTTGGTCAGAGCCCTTTCCCCAACAACAGTTTTGTCAAGAACCTAATGCTTTTTCTGTAAATAATAATGATCAGATACAAATGTATAAGATGTTGTCTTGCCAGCAGCTGCCAAATTCCCTGTATGCACAAGTCTGGTATAGTTGCACAGTTGGAGTTCACTTTGAAATTGTTTCCAAAAATGAGGTGGTTCAATCAATCAAAAACTGCAGAATAGCCAACATTAATTTTGTTTCATGATGTTTGAACGTGAAAGTGCCATTAATATCTGAGGCTATAAGACTGTGAAGGCCAGGAGGTTGAGTGCAGAGGTCAGATCCTGTGTGTCCTCTCTACGGGTCTGAGTATGACAATGGGGTGGAAATGAAAGCTTCATGTTGGCAAGAAAGGGTTTTCAAAGCTTAGCCTGTTTTATAGTGACTCATTTTCACAATTGTGATATTGGGCATCCTCACACACGGGCACACATACAGAGGCCTGATCTCCCCCGGTTATCCTCTCTGTTATCAGTCTTACTTTCACAACTGTGTAATTACTGCTGTTATCCTCTCAGGCCAATATCAGTCTGTCTGCGTTTTTGCCTGTTGGCCCATTCAGGCTGCGTCATATTTGAGATCTTGACAATTGCTGAGAAGCTTCCTCTCTTCCTCTCTGCCATAATAATTGTCAATGATGGTCAATGTCATTTTTTGGTCTGGATATATTGATTTATTTAGAAATACATTAAATTACTATTCAGGCACAAATACATCTTCAACGATGGGCATAATTTTAGTTTCTGAGTTAAAAGTTATTTTAATAAAATAAATGTTTTGACTGGTATTAAATCAACAATGTCAGAGTGATGATATCATAATGAAGAAAAATAATCATTACAAGAATACAGTAAAGTAGTTTGCCCATATTTTATTTTTAATTCCTTTTTATTAATTTATCATTAAAACATTATTCCTTTAAAAATGTCCTGCAAAATAAAGTAATGTGGGGTGAACAAAATCCAGAAAAATTTAGAATAATTGTGATGTGACTCTCCAAAAATGTAATGATATTTATTAAATAATAATGTAATAAATGTTTTTACCTTAAACATGTTTTAAGAATGTTTTTACTTTTCTGTTTAGGCTCACACTTTTTGAACTCACTGACTTTATAACTGCAATTGAGCCAAATAAAAACACATAGAATAATCTTAATAGTTTCATAATATTTTCAGTTTCACTGTATGTGCAGTGGTCTTGGATTTTGAGCCAAAGCCAGGACAGGATTTATGAAATTATAAAGTCTTTGATCTGATCAGAATTCTTTTAAACTCCTGTGACAAGAAGGCTTGTTATTACATATTTGTGCTAGCTAGTGTTCTTATTCTGCAGGACTAAGGGCTGTTTTCCAGAATAGATTTAAGCAATAATTGGCTGAAAATATTTTCTCTGCTTTAGTTCATTAGATTGAGCCCTCGTGCTTTTGTAAGCTCTGTGCCATGCACTTTTGTGAACCCCTGAAAGGTGGTGGAAGTGAGAGATTTTTTTTTGCATATTCAGTTAAGTACACAATTGAGCCAAAGTTACATTCCATATGCAAAGCCAACGCTATCCCTTATGTCATAGAAAAGCATTTTTGTCAGGGCTACAAGGCTGTACTGTAAGTATATAACAAAGTATTGAGATTAAATTTTGTTATTGACCCAATACTTATTTTCCACCATAATTTGCAAATAAATTCTTTAAAAATCCTACAATGTGATTTTCTGGATTTTTTTTTCTCATTTTGTCTCTCATAGTTGAGGTATACCTATGATGAAAATTACAGGCCTCTCTCATCTTTTTAAGTGGGAGAACTTGCACAATTGGTGGCTGACTAAATACTTTTTTTCCCCCACTGTATATTCCCTGCATGGAAAACATCAAAACTGAGACACTGAGTTATGTGTAATCACAAGAGAACTTCTGTTGGAGGAAATAGCATCACAATGAGCACTGTTAGGATGATAGATCAACTAAGCGTAGAAAGGTTAAACCTGGTGCCTCCTGTAGAGAAGGTGACAAGAAAGATGGATGAATGTGTGCTCAGTGTAAACTGCTTAGGATTACATGGCCAAATACCCTTCAGTGCCAGAACAAAGCAAGCTTCAGGTTCAGTATGCGTAAACTTATGTATGTGTGAAGGCATGTTCTCTGTGTTTACTTGGCTGTATGTAGTCCTTTGTGTTCCATGTGTTTGTTTAACCAATGGAGGTGTAAAAAAAGGAAGCCAGAACTGATAAGAGCCGTATTGTGAACATCAACCCCCATCCAGAATCTTCTGTAGCTGTAATTGTTCTAACATACCGTTCATACCATGGCAAATATAAGTGAATGTGGATTTTTAAAAATTTACAAGGTACAGTGGCCCCAAAAAAATATTCAGAAAAGATGCACTGTAAAAATGTATGACTGTCACTGCACTTGAAAATATCAAACCAAGTGGTATTTGAAAGTGTGAAAGTGAAGTGACGTGTGGCCAAGGGTCTCACATCAGTCGTAGTATTGAGCGTGGAAGAGAGCGCTGGTTATTCACTCCCCCCATCGACAATTCCTGCCGGACCTGAGACTCGAACCCGCAACCTTCGGGTTACAAGTCCGACTCTCTAACCATTAGACGACTGTCCCCTAATGCAAAACATTTTACAAAACATTTTGTTAAAGGATTTAAATCAGTAATTGTCTACCAGGGGGCCTCAGCAAACTTATAAGGGGCCATAGGATGACTAAAATTATTTAAAT